TACTATGTCCTGCTAGGTCGTTGCCTCCAAGCCTCGTTTCGCAGGCCAAGCCTCGTTTCGCAGGGCGTGTATAGATGCTGCATACAACGACGATGTTGCAGCGGAGCAAGATCTTATAGCGACTGGCCATGATCAGACCAAGAGGATGCAGCTGCCATCACGAGACAAAGTCTCGGACGATGACCGGCATGATGACGTCAATGGCAGCTTGAATCTGAGCGGCGCAGGCTTCGTACACGGACGCGTCTTGGTGCCACGGGTCGGCAATGTCACTTGGAAAGATACGCACGGTTGCCCGCAGCGTCGGGAAGAGCGCGCGAAGCATGCGCTCGTGGCGCGCCGTGACGCAATACACGACGTCTGCGGACTCGATGAGCGCGCAGTTGACGAGGCGCGACCGGTGAAGATGCAGGTCGATGCCCCGGCGCTGCATGGCGGCGATGCCAAAGGCCGACGCGGGGCTGTTGGGCGGCTCAAACTCGTCCGATAGAGCGATCGAGCCGACGCGCAGACCTGGCACCGGATGCTCCCGAAGCCAGCGCTTGGCGAGCGCCTCCGCCATCGGCGACCGGCACGTGTTGCTCGTGCACACGAAGAGAAGCAGCACCATCGTCCACGGGTTGTGTCATCCGGTTGGCAGACGGTATCTTCCGGATAGCATCGCGATCGTCCGTGCAACCAAGACCACGACGACTAACCTCGCCTCGATGCTGTCAAGCGACTAGTAGACGGGACTAGCGGCGTTGTTTCCCCTCTGGACAGCTCTGGCCGTACCACGTCCTGTAGAGCTGCAAAGCACTGACGCCGGCCTTGTTTGCTCAAGGCGGCAACCGACACACGCGGGTGTTATGCGTGTCCGATCGCATTAGACATACTCCCACCATGCGAAATCTCGCTGCACAGGCGTCAGTGTCCACATCATCGCCATTTCTGATGGCGAGGACTCGCTGTACGACAGCCACGGTGGACCAAGCGACAAGAGCCTTTGCCTGTCACGTGGCCCAGTGGTGGCGCCTCGACGTCGTATCCCTGTGGTGTCCGTTAGCCCATTGGCACGAGAAGCGGCGTCATCATCGCGAGAGCATGACACGGCCGATCCTTGCCATCATCGTGCCACGTGTGCGCCGTGCACGGCTACTCGCCGTCTGTCGCATCTCATCGCGCTCTGCTGCATGAACACGCACATGGCCTTTGTTGGCGTCACGGCGGCGATGTGCTTGGCGCCTTGGTGCCTTCTACGGCCGTAGTATTGCGCGAAGCCGAATCTTCTCGGGAGCTAGCTTCGGTGCTTGTCACATGGCCGCAAGTTGCACCCGAGCCCTGAATCTGAAGTGGGCCAATCGCAGGGCGGCAGCACCGCGACAACTTGAACATCCTCTAGTCTCTCACAGGTGATGCCTGCAGTGATAGCCCTGTTTCTGCCACCTCGACTCTCGAGACTCTCGACTCTCGAGACTCGTGACGGTCCTGGCGTCGTGCTACATACAGCCTAGTCTCCTGTACGTACGCTACCCATTGCACGCGATGAGGCAAGGGCCGCTTGCCACTGCAGCAACACCAGTGCATTGCACCTGCCTCTGCTCGCTCTCAAACTCAAAATGAAAACTAAAGTACAACGTGCAAATGGGAAATAGGGTCCAAAGGCCAAACACAACGTCGTATAGAGCTTACACGGGCATCGTACCCAAGACCTCGTTGCTATGTGCGTGTGCGTCGCTTGATTCTTGGCCGCCTTGCATGGTCCCTGGCACGCGAAGTGAATCCGGTGGTGGATTCGGGTCCGGAACCTCTATCTTTTGATATCCTGTACAAAAGGATGTCTCAATCTGAATACGCGTTTTGGCTATTGAGGAAAACCCCTCATTTCGGCTTTTGCCACCGTCCGACCAAGCACAATGATCAACGACACGCCGCAGTGGACGCGCCTCACGGCCCACGCCGACGCCATCAAGGCCACGCACCTGCGCACGCTCCTCAAGGACGAAGCCCGTAACGCGGCCTTGGTGGCCGAGCACAACGGTATCACGCTCGACTACTCGCGCCAGAACGCCACCTTGGAGACGATGGACTTGCTCTTCGACCTCGCCGAGGCCGCGCAGCTGCGCCAGAAGCTGGCGGCGATTGCCAGCGGCGAGCACGTCAACAAAACGGAGGACCGCGCCGTGATGCACATGGCGCTCCGCAGCCCCGCGACCAAGCCCATGTACGTCGACGGCAAGAACGTTGTCGAGGACGTGCACGACGTGCTGCGCGCGATCCGCAAGTTTTCGGACCGCGTCCGCAGCGGCGTGGCCCATGGCGCGACGGGCAAGAAGCTCCTCAACGTCGTGTCGATCGGCATTGGTGGCAGCTACCTCGGCCCCGAGTACGTCTTTGAAGCGCTCCGCCACGAAAAGGTCGCCAAGGCCGCGGCCGCCGGCCGCACGCTCCGCTTCCTTGCCAACGTCGACCCTGTCGACGCTGCGCGCGCGGTCGAGGGCCTCAACCCCGAAGACACGCTCGTCGTCGTCGTCTCCAAGACGTTCACGACCGCCGAGACGATGCTCAACGCGCGCACGCTCCGCAAGTGGCTCGTCGACGGCTTGGCCGCCCACGGCGTCTCGGCCGCGGACGCGATCCGCCACCACATGATTGCGGTCTCGGCGGCCGTGCCCAAGGCGCAGGAGTTTGGTATTGCGCCCGAAAACGTGTTTGGCTTTTGGGACTGGGTCGGCGGCCGCTACAGCGTGTGCTCGGCCGTCGGTATTGTCCCGCTGGCGCTCCACTACGGCGCCGACATTACCGACGCGTTCCTGGCTGGTGCCCACGACCTTGACGAGCATTTGCTGAACGCGCCGCTGCGTGAGAACCTCCCGGTGCTCCTCGGCCTCCTCGGCATTTGGAACTCGTCGTTCTTGGGCCATGCCACGCGCGCGATGCTGCCGTATGCGCAGGCACTCCTTCGCTTCGCCGCGCACATCCAGCAGGTCGACATGGAGTCGAACGGGAAGCGCGTCGCGCTCGACGGCTCGGTGCTCCCGTTCGCGGCCGGCGAAATCAACTTTGGCGAGCCCGGCACGAACGGCCAGCACAGCTTTTACCAGCTGATCCACCAAGGCCGTGTCGTGCCCTGCGACTTTATTGCGTTTTGCAAGTCGCAGACGCCGACGCACCTCAGCGGCGAGAAGGTCTCGAACCACGACGAGCTCATGTCCAACTTTTTCGCGCAGCCGGATGCGCTCGCCAACGGCAAGACCGTCGAAGAGCTCGCGGCCGAAGGCGTGCCCGAGGCGCTCCGCCCGCACAAGGCGTTCCCGGGCAACCGCCCGTCGGTCTCGCTCCTCTTCCACGGATCGCTCGATGCGTTTGCGTGCGGCCAGCTCCTCGCCTTGTACGAGCACCGCACCGTGGTCCAGGGCGCGATCTGGGGCCTCAACAGCTTTGACCAGTGGGGCGTCGAGCTCGGCAAGGTCCTCGCGACGCAGGTCCGCAACCAGCTCAGCGCGTCGCGCACCAACGCGGCCGCGCCGCTCCAGGGCTTCAACAGCTCGACGTCGGCGCTCCTGAAGCGGTACCTTGCCTAAGCAACCTCTCTAAATGACAATGTGTGTATGGTACTTCTTCAAGTTCACGGGTCTGCCTACTAACCTACTAGTGCAGACGAGGGCAAACTTGCGGGAAAACTTGGTCTAGCTCTCTAGGGCTAGGGTAGGCACCGAGGTGGGAGCTGGCGGAGATCTCGCCTCCGTTGGGGTTGAAGTGGGAGGACAAGTGTCGGACGCTCTTGGTTGTGTCGGCGCTGGTGTTGATCTTGATCGAGGCCGGCAAATGCGGGACAAGGTGCCACTCGTGTTGAGCGAGGAGCCGGAGAAGGCGACAGTGAGCCATCTCCCGGACGCGCCAGAGGTAGCTCGGTGCATGTTGGAGACCGTCTTCAGCGTCGAGAAGAGGGAGCCGAGAGTGTTGTCGGCAAGACTACACCCAAGGGGGCTGTGACCGCAAGGAGCGTGCTCTACACGTCCGTGATGAAGTCGCAGTCGACGAGAAAGTGGCGGTACGTCTCGTGCTCGGGGCAACAGAGGCACGCCTGATCGGCCCTGTCGAGCCAGTGCAAATGAGCGCGGAACGTGACCGCGCGAAGCATCATTTGGCAGACGAAGTCGGCGTACTTGGGCAAGATGGCATCGGGTTGTCCAAGCTCGGCAGCAGAGGCGACGGCTGCAGTCGACTGGTAAAAGTCGTCGTCGACGTCCAAATGGCGGGTCGGGAGCTGGATGTTAGTCCTTGGCTGGGCATGGCTGCGGCCGGTGTCGTCTGGGTCAACAGCTTCGTCGCGTTGTGCAGGCGAACCAGCCATGGCGGCTTGAGAGTCGGGCTCGGCAGCGGGCCACACTTGTAGGCGTCGACCGTCGTTGCAGCCGAGCCACTGGGTGTTTGGCGTTCACGTGTGGTCCGAGGGCTCTGCTGCTGCACTTGTCGTTCACAGCTTGGGTGAGGCGGTGATAGCTTGTTGCGCGCGTCTTTGTCGGGGCGTCTGTGAGCATCAAGGCGTGGACGTGCTGAGCTTGGTGATCTCGATCTTGGCCATTGTCCGTGGGTACCAAGTGTTCCATCTTGTGGTCATTTCTACGGAACTACGTCTAGCTACGGAGGACAACTGGTTGGGCCAGAGCAGTTGTCGCCTCCGTTGCGCACGTTTGGCGCTGCCACCACGACCATCCGAATGCGCGGGTGGTGGCTCCTCTGCACTACGTTGTGCCTGATGCAAGGGTATAAAATCGATCTATTATGTAGGGGATTAGTTTGTTATGCGTTGTAACTTAGTTGCTTAGAGCTGGCTCAGCGGAATCGCATTTTGAAAGTGCTGGGGTTGTGTGTGGTCTTTTGAAGGCGCGCACGAGAAGAGCCGCCACGTCTTGATGTCAAAGATGTACAACTTGTCATGGAACTCAAGGCTTACTAACCCAGCGAGGACTGCCGATGTCTTGTCGAGGTAGTACGCGCCCCTGTGCTTCCAGTGCGTAAAGTCCAGCATGTAGATGCAGTGGGCGCTGAGGAGAAGCGAGTGGACGTCATGCGGTGCCATGCCTCGCAGACGCCATCGCTCGCAGCCAAACCAGACGCCGACGCAGCTCAGAGCAACGCCGACGACGCCCAGGACACGTCGAGTCGAGCCAAGGTGGATGGACGCACTGGAGCAAACTAAGCCTGCGTCCATGTCGACAAACGTGCAGTGTCGCTCCAGAGTCGCCGAGTACGAGAGTGGTGCGACAAAGGACCAAAGGACCAAAACGAACCACGTCGAGAGCGAGCTCTTGTAGGCATACGCGGTCGTATACTGCAGTGTGACGCAGCTGCCAAAGTCGTTGAGCGCATAGACGAGCCACGTACTTTCCCCCGCCGCGAGGATCGTTTGGTACCATGGAAGTGGCGGCGACGTAAAGGACGTCGCTTGTCCCACTTGCGTCAGCAGCAGCGGCGCCGTGTTGAGCATCCAAATTGCAGTCACGCTCCGGAGCAAGATGAAGCTGCGCCCGGCCCAGACGTGGCCCACGACCCGGTTCAGCTCAAATAGGTTGTTGGCTTCCATGCCGACGCCGCGCATACTGAGGATGTAGCCAGCGAGGACGCACGTGACGCCGATGAGAATCGACGTGATGTAGACGGTGCAGCCGAGAGTCGCGAGTGAGAAACTTGTGGGAATCTCGTGCGGGTCGGGGGTTATCGCTGAGGCAGGGTACGCCGTCGCCATTGTTGTGATACGTCCAGTGTCGCCTTGAAACGAGACGACTTCGCGGTGGCCACTGAGCCACTCGTAGAGGAAAAGCCAACCGTAAAACGTCCAGAGACGCTCGCTGGGCTCGAGGAGGTTGATCTGGTACAGCTGCGTGTCGGTATTCGTCGTGTCCGAGTAGTACTGGATCATTTGGATGTCCAGTGCTAGAAGATCGTCCGTGCTTCTTTGAAAGAGCGGTGGCAGCGAGGAGAAGGACGTGTCCATATACTGCTCCAAGAAGGCGACGAGCGTGCTGAGTGCAGATGCGCAGGTCGCTCCCGCACACGCGTCCAAGCGACACAAGGCACTTGCGTCTTCGCTGACCATGGGGCCGTGGGATGCGTTGAACGCGAGAAGTGCAAAGAAGAGCTCTGCTGTCGACGGCAGTAGCACCTCGAGGAAGAGAGCGTGGCACG